AAGGTGGAAGGGCTAGGATTAGCTACAGTGTTCAAAGCAAATGTTATGTAAATGAATGAAGATGAATTAATTGACTATGACCAAGAAAAGCCATATTTAAATTTCAGCTGAGGGTAGGTTAATGAATAAACAAATAAGTAAAATAATAATAATAATATCACACCACAAATTGATGCAACTTTTGGTAATGGTGGGAGATTTACCACTGTGGCTACCTCCACCAAAGGAAGATGGATGTAATAGCAGCACTATGGCAGGCTCTTAGAATGAATTCTTTAAGTTTCGACAAGGATGGAGAGCTAAGCTTACAGTTTACTGAGCACTGCTCATATAGATAAGGAAGGAGAAAGAGGACTCTGTCCTGATCTGATCTGAGGATTCTCAGATATTGTCCCTACCTCTGTCAAAGGATCAGGGTTTGCTGATTCCAGGACTCTGGAATTTCAACAAAGCTGGGGTTGGATGCGTCTTACTTGCAATTAACCTGCGAATGGGAAGCAACGCTTAGCTGCAATGACGCAGGGCTTCAATTTCTGTACCTATAAAGGGAGGGCTTTGTAGGAAATTATCTTTTAAATTTTAAATTTTATTATTTTCCAATCAACAAGTATTTATTTTTTTCTTTGTCTGCCCTCTTTCTTCTCCTCCTACCCCACCCCCGTGAATAATAACAACAATTGAAAAGAAAAATAAAAACTTTCATAATAAATATGCGTAGTCAAGTGAACCAAATTTCCTTACCAGCCACAACCAAAAATGTATAACTCAGTCTGAATTTTTAGTCTGTCATATCTATGGCAGGAGGTGAGTAGTATGCTTCATCTTCGGTCCTTTGGCATTGTGGTTTCCCATACATCTATTAGAGTTCAAAAGTCATTAAAATTTGTTTTTCTTTATAACATTGTTGTCATTGTATTAATTGTTCTTTTGGTTGTACCCACTTCACCCTGTGTCAGTTCAAAGACATCTTTTCAGCTTCTCCTGAAACTCCCTTAAAGTTACACTACTCTTGAGAATGATAGAAGGGGAAGAGAATTCAGCAGAGAGGCCAATAGGGTCATTTGTCTGGACATAAGATGAATAGGTTCTAGACCAGATCTGATTTCACAGATTATGAATGTCAGAGCTAGAAGAGACCTTAGAGATCATCCAATTGGACCCCTTCATTTTACAGGGGATGAAATCAGACGGAGAGAGTGATTTATGCAAAGGGATAGAGCCAAGGGTGCATAATCTCACGCCTAGTGCTCCTAACAGAGATCCCATGAGGCAAGGATAAAGGGAAATGGTTTTGTGAAAACAGACTGGTAAATATTATGCCTCCTGGGATTTTAAGATTTCTCTTCAATGCTTCATGTACTCTTCTATTTTGGTCCAAACCCAAGCTTTGTTTTCAAACAATGATCTATTCTACTATTATTCTGAAAGACAATCCTGTGATATGGAGCATGGGGCTTGGAATCCTACATAGAAGAGTGCTAAAGAGTTTCCCCTGGAACTATACAGGATAAGAATCTGGCCCATCAGGTTTCTGGCCTTCTCTCTGACAACAAAGCCTGTATCACGGAGCCAGCTGCGGCTCTGACTGGTCATTCACTTCTAGCAGAAAACTGGCTGTTAGCTAGGCCAAAATGTGAAGTAACTCATCCCTCTTCACCAGTTCAGTGAAATGAAGCCTGATTTATTGGAAGAGAAAAGTGGAAATGTCCACCACTGACCACTGAGCCCACCTGTCAAATCATACAGTGTCTCCATGGCTCCCCCCATAATGCAGTTCTTTGGCACGTACAGTGTGGCATAATTCCTTAATTTAATTTGATTGTGTGCATGATGTTTCTTCAATTGTCATTATAATTCTGTCAGTTCTGACCTCCATGCCTTTGCTCATCCTCATCATTATCCTTGGAATGCCTCCCCACCCTCTTGACCTGTTGAATATCTACATATTCTTTGCAACCTAGCTCAAATACCTACTCCTCCATGAAGCCTTCTCTTATTCCCCCAAACATATTAATCAATTATGTATTATATCAATAAGTATTTATTAAGCACCTAGTATTTACCAGGCCCTATAGTAGGCACTAGGTATACAAATAAAGAATGAAATGATGCCTACACAAAAGGAGCTTACCTCCCCTTTAAACCTCACATGGCACTTTGTTTTACAGATCTCTCATATATTTATTATGCAATATTGAATATTATAAAAGTATGTGTTATCTAAGATTATAAGTTCCATTAGAGCAGGTACTATGACTTATCTAAACTCTGTATATTTGCCAGCTTTTAGTACAATGTTCTACACTCAGCAAGTACTTAATAATTGTTGAATGAATCAATGAATACAAGAATCAATACTCTTTAATTATCCCCTTTGGAAGGTATGGACCTTATCTAACGAACTTGTCTCTATCGTGTCTAACATGGTGCCTTACATAAGTAGGAGCTTAGGAAATTATAAAGGTAAAGAAGGAAGTAAAAGTTACATTAGTTGGTATTTAATAGATTTGAGTCCTAAAACCTGTGTTTCAAAGAATGCTTAAAAACCTATGTTGGAAATTATACCTTTGATCAAGCTGGAAAATTCTTTCTGGGCAGAAGAGGAAAGAGAATGAAGAAATGTAGGGTGACAGTCAATCTGGGTCCAATGTCGTCCCGTCACATGCATTGTTTCAAGTACATTCTAGACATACACTCTCCCCTTCTCTGATACTCCCCTCTCTCCAACTTAGCCTGGCTTTCCCAGTCATTTTTACTCATGTGGTTTTTGTTTTTGTTTTTGTTTTTGTTTTATTTTCGGGGGGGTGGTGATGGATATGTAATTTCCTCCACCAAAGTCAGCCTCCTCATGATGTGGAAGTGACCTTGGTGCCTTAAAGATGACAATACCAGCAAGGCATAACCTTTGGCAGGTTTTATCCAGCTGGGAAAGCTTCTTTGATTTTTGTTTTGGGGTGAGGGAAAGGGGAGCACTCACAGATTACATGCCCTTTGTCTGTGGTCTAGCCTGAACACATTCAGAAAGGCTCAACTCTGGTTTCTCCAGAAGGAAAGTTCTCTATCCACAGCCACTCTTCAAGACCATCGCCATCCACCAAATCAGGGAAGAATTGCCATCCATGGTGAATGGAGTTGCCCAAAGCAATGAAATCTCAGGTCCTTCAAGTTACAAACAAGTGATTTTTTAAATTTGATTTCCTCCACCCCACTCCCAACCTTCACTCCATTTAGAGTAGACAAGAATAAAACAGAACAAAACAAAACAAAAAAACTCAAATCATCAAAGTTATAGCATTATATTAAGGTGGCCAAGATTAGGAAGCAGAAAACGTGTTTTTGTGTCTACTCACACAACCACCATCCTCCCCTCCGCCTCTTTTGTCTGGACCATTGCACTAACATCTTATTTAGTCTCCTTGCCTCCTCTCATCACCTCTCTTCACCTTGAATCTTCCCAATGGCTACAGAAGTGACTTTCTAAAGCTTGGGTCTGACTAGGTCACCCCCTTACTTGATAAACACAAGCCACTGGTTCTCTATCACCTTGAGGATCAAATTCAAATTCTTTTGTTTGGCACTGAAAGCTCTTCACAACTTGGTCTCTTTCAAGCTTTCTAGTTTTCTTATCCATTATTCAAACACTCTTTGATCCAAAGAGGAAAATCTGCTTCCTCTTTTATACACCAGCATGCTTTACCTTTCCATTGGTTGTCCCTCATGCCTAGAATGTGCTCCCCCTCATCTTTGCCTCTTGGATTCCCTATTTTTCTTCAAGACAGTTCAAGCACTGCCTTTCACATTAAGCCTTCCCTGATCCTCCCAGCTGCTAGTGCACTCTCCCTATCAAAAAACAAACTTTGTATTTTATATATAATATATATGTATGTGTACATATATACATACACACACCTATATTTGTTGTTCAGTAATTTTAGTAGTGTTCAACTCTCCATTTGGGGGTCTGCTTGGCAAAGATACTAGAGTAGTTTGTCATTTCTTTCTCCAGCTCATTTTACAGATGAAGAAACTGAGATGGGGTTGGGGGGGGAGAGGGAGTTAAGTGACTTTCTCAACTCACAGAGCTAGTAAGTGTCTGAGGCCAAATTTGAACTGAGGAAAATGAATCCTCCTGACTTCAGGCCCAACACTATATCCACTGAACCACCTAACATATACATATATTGGATTATGTATTATTTACATGTGTTATATATCATATATACACTAAATTGCATGTAGCATATGTACTATGCCTGTGCATGTTATATTGTGTGCGTATGTATGTGTCGTGTGTATATGTACATGTAAAAGTATATACAAATATGTTGTAACTCCCATTAGAATGTAAGCTCCTACAGTCAGTAATTGCTTCACTTTTATCTTTGTATCCTTATTCCTTAATACAGTGTCTGATACCTATTAACTACTTTAAAAACATTTGTTGATTGATTGATTGATTTCTTGATCAATTGCTCTCAGTGAATTGTGTTTACTGTGTTATTGTAGACCCCAAAATGGATCAGGGACCAAAGAATGTGACCTTGAATTTAACATTGCCCTTTTTTCTTTCTCTCTTTATAGGAAATGGTTTGAATTCCTCCATAAAAGTTCAGATTTCTTCTTGGCCAAGGGTAAAGTGGTGGCACATTAGTGGAAACATAGACTGCACAGAAGAGGGAGTACCATTCCTATCTCTATCCCAAACTAGACACTAAGTTAGAGGGTGTGGTCACTCACTGCAATTGCAATTATAATGAAGAATTGATCAGGAGTGGATCAAGATGCCATACTGCAGGAGAGGAAAAACCCCATATCCATTACTCATGCCCACTTACATCAAATATGGGTCAGATTTTTGTTACTGTACAAACCCAGTGCATCACTTCCCATCTGTAAAACTGTCTCAGAAGCCTTTGTGAGCCCCATGCTGGGAAGAAATAGAAGAAAAAAGTGAGGATGTGGTTCCCCTTCACTGCCATTTTCATTACTTTTTCACTTACCATTCCTCTCAAAACCAGTTCTGATTTTAGGAAGCCATCCGCTTCCAGGCAGTCATCATCACTGGCTACGGTCCCAGATCTTCTATCTGCAAGTGCAAAAAAATGAGTAAGTCAAGTTCCAGCAACACCCTTACTTTGTAGCTGGGATAGAAATGCCACCATATTTTTTCTCAGAAAAGATGCTTATGATGGGCAGAGATGGTTCCGTGAATTGACTCAGCTCAGCTCAGCTTTGCTGCTGTCAGGTGGCTTGCACCTGCAGACTACAATAATGAACCTTACCTATGCAGGCTAGAACAACAATACCAATACCTGAAGAACCTGTCCAGGTTTGCTCACGTGGCTGGTTTCTGACTACTGCTCTTCACTAGCGCAGTGCAATCTTGCCTGTCACTATCTGGGAACACAAGCAGCCCTGATCTACAAGCTCAGTGCACTGGTAGCTGAAAGAAAGTCTGTTAAATTCCACTGTGACCTTTCACAGGCCATAATTTGGAGTCACATTCTGCACCCTTTAGACACGCCGTGTACTCTGGACTGTTCAATTATGCCCTCTGGTTGATGGATACTGGTTCTCATCCAGCCTCCTACACGCTTCTGTATGATTTTCATTAGCAGATTCAAAGCCACATCTGATTTGTTGAACTTTTGTTATGGTGGTGGTGATGGTGGTAGTGTCAAGTACCCTTTTTGAGATGCAGGGTTGGGAGCAGGTGGGAAAAGGAGTGAGGAGCTGAATGGCTAATAAATCCACAAACACTATAAAGAGCAAATAGCTTTCCTGGCACTCTTTTGGTGAGGCAATCGGGGTTAAGTGACTTGCCCAGAGTCACACTGCTAGTAAGTTTCAAGTATCTGAGGCTGGATTTGAACTCAGGTTCACCTGACTCCAAGGCTGGAGCTCTATCTACTGCCACCTAGCTACCCTAAAGAGCAAATAGTAAGCAGAGTTGCTACTCGGATTTAATCCCCTAATCTGGATGTTGCCCACTCCCTCAGTCAAGCCCCAACTTTTCCTGTCCCATGTTACCCATGGAAAAACAAACGGATGTTGAGAAATGTTCATGTTGGAAGTTGAAATGAATCTCCTTTCAAAATCCCAGCCCAATACAAACACAGCCTGGAGCTTTTTCCTTTTTTTTTTTTCCTTCACTGGGGATCAGCGTGAAGGAAAGATCATTATAATCAGAAAGCAATGGAAGGTACCCTGAGGGAAATGTAAAACAATAGCCACAGAAAGCCAAGGGAAAAGTCAGGGCAGTGGGTTTAAAAAGCCAGTGTCTAATACCCATCTCGAGCCAAAGGTCGCTGTGGCTGCTTAGCTCAGCCTATCCCTGAGGGGAGATGGGTAGAGAGCAGCTGGAAGAAGGGGGTGCAGCCTCAGCAGCCCTGGCACCCCCACAGAGAAAACTGGGCAAGAGCTGCTTAGTTATTCCCAAGAATGTCAGAAAAGAGTCTCCCCTGGGGTGGGGAGTGAGGGAAATGGGGGCATCACATAAGACTATTCATTTCTCAGTGGGCTTGTTCCAGACCATTTCCCCAGAGAGAGTTTTTTCCTCTTAGGGAACTGGGCTATGCTTTTTCTATGTTAGGAACACAGCCCATTTAATCACAGCACGTTATCTGGCCTTTCAATTTAACCCATTTGGGGCTGGCAGAGAATATAGTTGAAGTTGTAAGTATTTTCCTTCTATCCAGTGAAACAGCTAAATGATATATTGCCCAGTCCTTTCAAAACCGGGGCCTAATGTTGCCTAAGGTTTCTCTTTCCAAGAAGATGGATTTTCTTTCTTCCCTAGAGTTTTTCCACTCTCTTCTCCTGCTATGTCAAAAGTGTATCTGTGTTTAATTGAGAAAAAAGTTGCCCAAAGGTCCTTCATCTGAGGACCACCTGATCGATATTTCTTTTGGCTATCAAATAATGCCTGTGTAACCAGTAGTCAGCTACTTCACCTCTCTAGCCATCAGGTTCCTCACCCATAAAATGAACTGGTACACTGAAGAGAGCACCAGCCGTCTCTTGTGAAAGGAACTAAGTTTACATGCTCCCTCTGAAGCTATACTATCCGGTGTGACCTGGGTCAAGTGACCTCCTCTCTCCGGATCTCAGTTCCTTCATCTGTAAAATGAGGGGGTTCAACTAGACCTCCAACTCTAAATCTCTAATCCTATGGTCCTACAACAAAAGAATTGGATTAGATGGCTTGTGAGATCCCTCCCAGCTCCCAGCATGATGGAGCTAGCTTTTACCACTTGCATTGCTAAATTTTCACTGTGAATGTTTACACTTTGGAAATCAACAATTGCTACAAATCAGGTCTTGATCTATTGTTTCACTGATTGTCCAGACTTAAGAAAGTAATGGAGAAAATGTAATACTAGAGATTAAACTTAAAATTGTGTTTGGCACAATTTTTATTTTATTTATTTTCCAAAATCATTTGTGAAACATTTGCCAGAACACCATTGCTTTCAACTCTAGATCTGTGACCACAGAACTGAATGAGCTCTTGACCTTTCCAGCTCTAACACTGATTCCAATCCTGCTTTTTCTTCTCACCTTATCCTCAGATTCCCTGATCTATCCTCTCTTTCCCTCTCTCCTCAAGGGTTTTTATGTGTTATTGCTTGGTGAATTTAATGTTCCCTGGTGGCCTCAGTGGGAAGTGGCATAGGATTGTCAAGGGGCCTGCATAACTCATTGGGCAGAAGTTCCACATGCTTATCCATCTCTACTCTTGAATTTTCTTGTGACCTATAATTACATGTGCTTCCATTCTTTCCATCTGTAAAAACTGAAGGAACAAGTAAGGCTAAGTTCCTATTCTGTGAGTTACAAGAAGTCACAGCAATAAATACTGAATAAATAAAAAATGGAAAGACCACTATATACTCATGTATGTGAAGAAAACACTCAGCCTAACAACTGTATTGAGTAAACCACCACAGACTGGTGACTACAATATTTCTCCATAATATTTTTTAACCCCCTCCCATGATTATATGGAATTTTAAAAGAAAAAAAAATATTAAAAGAGTATGAAGAAGGGGCAGCTAGGTGGCACAGTGGATAGACCACATACTCTAAAGTCAGGAGGACCTGAGTTCAAATCAGGCCTCAGTCAGAGTTAGGGAACCTGGCCCTCTAGGTTCTTGAGTGTGGCCCTTTGGATTCTGTCAAAGGGCTGTACTTGAGGACCTGGAGGGTCACATATGGCCTCGAGGCCACAGGTTCGTTACCCCTGTGTGACATTTACTAGCTATGGGACCCTGGGCAAGTCACTTAAGCCTGATTGCCTCCCCAAAAAAAAGAAAAGAAAAAAAAACTAGACTGCTGCAAGCTGGGTATATTCACAATTCCACAGAGTTCTGGGGATTCCATATGCTTCTCTTTAGCCAAAATTATACTATTCAGAGGCAGTGTCACACAGTAGAGAAAACACTGGATTTGGAGATCAGAGCACTGTGACTTGAACTGTACCTCTATGTGGCATATCATCATCTCTAAAAGAAAGGGGTTGGATTTGATCATGCCAGAGGTCCTTTCCAGCTCTCAACGTGTGATTCTGTGATTCTGGTCGACTCTCAGCCTTGACTCTAAGCCTTTCCTACTCCTTTGTGGGGTCTGTTTTCATCGGGAAAAGACAAGAAAGTCTAAAATTAAAGTTTTCAAACCTAGAACCACTCAAATTCATTGCATATCTGTTAAACAAAATCAAGAATCTCTCGTGAATGTCATCACACTGGGAATCCATTGGGATCATAGAATTTCAGGGCTGGAAGGAACTGCATAGGGCATCTTGTCAAACCCATTCAAGCATCCCAGAAAGATTTCTGCAATGTAACCTATGTCTTTGCCTCCTGTGAGGGCAAACCCAAAGCCTCTATTTCACTTTGGATAACCAATTGTTAAGATTTTTTTTTCTGACCCCAAGCATGAAATTGTCTTTTGTAATTTCCACACATAACTCTTAGTTCTACCTTCTCGTGCCAAAGAGCAAAAAAAGAATAAGTCTGATCTCAACATAAGATTCCACTTGACAGTGTCTAAGGTCCCTTCCAGCTCTAAATCTATGGTACTATGATCAGCCTTTCAAATACATGAAGACAGCTTTCATGTTCCCTCTTAGCCTTCCTCAGGCTTAGCCTCACATGGCATCAACTCAAGGCCCTTCACCACCTCCCTTGGATGTTCTTCAAGCTATTGATATCTTTCTTAAAATGTGGCACCCAGTACTAAATACAATAATCCAGTTGTGGTCTGAATAGGACTGAGTGTAATGGGACTCCCACTTCCTTAGCCCTTGATGCTCCACCTCCCTCGATGCAGTCCACGATCATACAAGCTTCAGACACAAGAGGACAGAACAAAAATGACTTATGAGTTGATACTCAAGATGGGGAAATCTGTACAATGAAGGGATTTGATTATAATGTCTAAAGTGGTTTCCACTTCCTTATAAAAATGTAAGCTCTTTGAGAGTAGGAATTGTTTCATTCATTGCATTTTTATCCCCAGTGCCTAGCACAGTTCTTAATGCATAGTAAGTATTTAATAGATATTTATTCATTGAATTCTAGTTTTTAATAATAATGATGGCTAATAATAGCTTGCATTTATATAGTGCTTTTAAGGTTTGCAAAGTGTTTTACAAATAGTATTTAATTTTATCCTCATAATAACCAAGAGGCAGGTACATTATTCCCAGTTTACAGTTGAGGAACTAAAGCAGACAGAGATTAAGTGACATTCTCAATGTCACACAGGAAGTACCTAGGGCTAGATTTGAACTCAGGTCTTCCTGACTCCTCAGGTCCAATGCTCTAACTGCTGCACCACCAGCTGTCTGTATAATGTTAATAGCACACTAGGCACAGGAGAGACAGCTATGTCACCATTTATCTTTCTTTCTACCATGACTTTTCTATGTTAAATCATATGATCTTAAATTACCAACAAAGACTTTATTTCAGGCATAGGGCACACTGCTATTGCAATTTCTCTAATTCACACTTTTCAGCTTTGTGTCATCTGCAAATTTGATAAATGGTGACATGGCTGTCTCTC